ACCCCCAATAGAACTTAGATTGCTTCAGTAAGAGCTTGTCCATGAAGAATATGATATGATCAAAAGCTGGATTGGGGAACTTTTGGCTCTCCAGATATTGCTACCAAGCCTGGCCAGTGGCAAGGGATGATGGGAGTTGTAGTTTTGTAACATCTGAAGAGCATCTGCTTCAGAGGTTATCTATGCAACTTCTCTCTCTCTCATCATGTGAAAGATTAGAATGGGACTATGGAGCCCCCGGCCCACCCAGGGCCTAATGTGGCCATCCGGGTCTCTCTATCTGATCCTTGGATTCTCCCCAGGGAGTGTCCTTGCAATGCAGTTTGCCTTGGTGGCTGCCCAGTGACCAGCATTGTCCGTACTTTAGTTTCCAAATGTCTGACTGAACAAGAAGGTCTTAGCCCACTGGAGGAAACATAACAAAGAGGGAGCCAATCCAATCTCTTCAGTGAGGGAATTCCGCAATGTCAGAGCAGCAACAGAAAATACTCTCTTGTGTCACTACCAACTGTGCTCCTGATGTTGATGGACTGAGAGGAAGTGCTCACCTGAGGATCTGAGCACCCGGGCAGGTTGCATAGTTACCTTATTCCACACCTTTCATTTCAGTGCAAATGAACTGCAATGCAAATGTAATCAGTTATCAATTGTTTGCATACTGAAAGCATCATAAACAATAACAGTGAATACCAATTGTATTTTCTGGATTGGTTTCTGTTCTAGACATCAGATGAATAAGCAAACACCAGCAATTCCCATTCCCATTTTCAGCGGTATTCTCCAACATCCCTACCCATAACACACACCCCATTAATCCTCCATTAATATCTGCAGATGCGATTCTAGCAAATGTTTCCTCTGGATGACAAAGGCCATATACTGAGTCGCAATAACAGTTTGTATCTAGCTTAAGTCATATTAATGAAATCCAAGGGCATGGCTAAGTGAAGTCTGTTAATTTCAGTGGGTTGGCTTTGAGTATAGCTTAGTCATACACAACCTAATGTGAACATCTTTTAAACATCTGTATAAAAAATGTTACTCATTTCTTGCCAGCAGCTATTAATCTCTTCCTCCCCTCCCCTTTTACTATGTTTGGTTTTCATTATTGTCCTGATTCTTTCAGTTTATTTGCTCTGAATTCTTTCTGTTTTATGCAGCCTTCTAGAGTGCTTTGGTAAATAGGTGTGCCATAAGCTATGAAGCAAATAAAGTATTTAAATATTATTTTGCTCTTAAATCAGTTGGCTGAATGCAAGATAACATGCCATTTATAAGTAAGTATTTAACTTCCAGAGTGTTTCTGCAGATGAGTAGGAGGGCTGATTAAACAGTAAACCTAAGGTGGATTTTCAATTTTTCATTCAATCATGCATGATTTAAGTAGCTTAATTTCCATGTTGAAGCATGTCTCTGGCTCCTGTCACTTTGAATTATAAATATGTCGGGGTGTCGACTATTAAAAAACACAGTAAATATTACTTTGTGAGTGACATGCTAAATGCTTTACTATGCATTTCCATCCATAAGTAAATATGACACTGAGTTTTCATAGGCCACTGATTATTGATGACACCGTGCCATCAAAATACATCCAGCAATGTCTTTCACACTTGATACAGTTATGCTAGCATTACATTAGACATCATATTGAGGAACAAACTTGTCTAAATAAAGACGTCGAAAGATGAAGGTTCCAATCCTGAATACAAACCAGTCCAAGTAAAGACGTCAAAACAAAAGAATGAGATGCAAGAAAGAGATCCTTGCCTCTCTTCCTCTGAAGAGATAATCATTACTGTCTCTTTGGACACCAGCATCCCTCATCTCCACAAATGTGATCAATTAGGTACATAAAATGCACTGATATCTACCAGGGAGCCATGCAGCGGAAAGGGAAGGTCCAGATGTATAGGGCAAATACGTTTGTTGCCACCATTCTACCTTTTGTATACCCTGAGAGATTGTGGGGGAGAGGGGGGGCTCGTTTAATCTCACTGTAAACAAGTGGTACAGTGACAATAAAGTATTTCTATTTCTATGTTACTCTTAAAAGGCAATCCCCTGTTGCTCATGCAGCATTTAACAGTACTGACTGCATGCCCTCTTCCTTAGCATTTGTTATTCCACACATCCTGTTTATGCTGTATAAACACACACACAAAAACAAAACATTTTGAAAACAAAAGTTTGGATTGGCAAATTATGGAAATTAATTACAGCAAAACTCTATAAACATTTTTTTCCTCTTGGGGGGACTATTTAATGGACAGTTATGGTCAATCGCGAAAGTGTTTTTTGTTTTTGGAATTATTGGTAGATGGCTCGTCCACAAAGTAAGAATTGATCCCCTGATAAATGAAGTTCTTTCATGAGTACTTTGAAGGAGGGAGTCATCAGATTGTGGGGCAAGCAACACCCCTTTGCATCTGCTTTGCATAAAGAAGCGCACAGGTTCAATCTGTCCAGGTGGGGTTGAGGGAGACCCCGCCTGGAGAGCCACTGCCAGCTGGTATAGACCAGAGATGGGTAATGTGTGTATCTCTCAATCTCTCACCATCCCTCACCTGGGTACATAGGAGCCAGCTCCTGGGGATTGAGGTCCCTTTGTCCTGTGTGTGTGTGTGTGTGTGTGTTTCTGATATATGTCATTATCGGCAAAGCATAAACAGAAATAGTACAAAAATAAGGAAAAGGTCTCTGAAATAATATCAAATAAAATTTTGAAATAGCTTAAAAGAACAGAAAACAAAAAAAAAAACATTCTGTGACTGACTTCCCGTCCTCTCTTTCAATGGTTCTTTTTAACTCCCCCCCCCCCCCGGTTTCTTGGATCCACCCTTCCTATTGTAACTCCTTATATGAATTCTACCGTATTTTTCACCCCATAGGACGAACTTTTTCCCCTCCAAAAATGAAGGGGAAATCTGTGTGCATCCTATGGGGTGAATGCAGGCTTTCAGGCTTTCACTGAAGCGTGAAGAGTGAGAGGGATAGCAGCCTGCTGCCCGGAGTGCGGGGCACGCTGAAGCAGAGCACCCCGTGCTTCGGGCAAATATCCGCAAGCCTGGGGAGCCCGCGGGAGTTCCCGCAGGGCTCCCTAGGCTGCGGATAGCAGCCTGCTGCCTGGAGCACGGGGCGCCCTCCGGAGGGTATCAAATTTTAAACGTTAAAATATAGCCTTAGAAAGAAACTGTGGACACATAAATAATTCCTGAGATGATGACAAGCCTGATTATTAGCTTGTCTCTTTAGATGCATTTAGGTAAACATGGCTTTGTAACAGTTAACACTCTATACATTTAATATCACTAATTATATTTCCTCTGGTGTTTTGATGGGCTAGAATCTATCTGCTAGATATAGCTTGGATTTTTTTTTATTAAAAAACCCCCACTGTGGTAAGGACAACTGCACAGCAAGGTTAAGTGCCTCCTTGTCTTCAGTACCAATAATTACCTTTAAACCAAAAAGAAGAAGCTGTTTTCAGATCTGACAGCTAATTTACTAATGAGTATGTGCACCCAATTCATAATAAAGTAATATTGACCAAAAAATAATCCAGCATTGGTACTCATTGAAATTATTTTATTGTTTGGGTCTTCTATTAAATAAATTGGAAAGGATTAATTTTGCAAGATGGGATTGTCAGAGATTGCTGCATAAACGAGATGCATGTCAGCACTAAATTTAATTATTGATCACAATACAATAGTGCTGAGTTTTCCAATCCCAAACAGCTTCCAGTAAGTATCAGCAGATTCCAAATATGTAGAGAGAGGGGAGAGAGACCAGAGGGGGAAAAAATACTTAATTGCAGATGACCACATTTTATTAAATAAATATTTTATGATGGCTAGATAAAAAATTCATTATAACTTTCACTTCTAATCACCTGCTCGCTCATACACTAAAAATAAGCATACTTTTGAATTTGTTCTCATCAATAAAAGTATGGTAGCCCCAGTTAGTCTATGCATAAAGATGGCTTGTCATAAAATGGCTTCTGCGGGTTAATTAACTGCTGTGTGGAAATTAACACTGGAGAATAGCAAGCCATATTGTTTGCAGAGTTTTCTCCTCGGTCTTTGGTAAGGATCTAATGGGCACAAGAGAAGGGATTCATGCAGCCTGGCTTTAAGTCACTTGACAGTGTTGTGGGCGAAACAAAGAGGTGATTCTGTGCTCTCTGGATAAATCCCAGTCTCAAATACAAATCCTGCTCAATGCACTATCTGGAAGCTAAAAACATGTGCAGTTAAAACTATTCAAAAATAGGTCCTGACCACACTAAAAATGCCTTTTAAAAATAATTATATTTAATTCTACCTCCAATATATAGTAGAAGGAAATATTACTTTTTTAAAAAAAAGAAAGGAGCAAAACAAAATTAAAAATAAGAACTCCAATTGTTGTAATTGTGGAGGCTCCCAATGCATTTCAGAATCCCGGTTTTCCTCTCCACATGTACAGAGGGCTCCCTGCTTCTGAAGATTGTTTACATGGGTTGGAGGGTGGTAGGGTTGGAGCTAGAGTATTCATCTCTTCTGCTCCCCTCCCCAAAATGTTTAGCTCCATCTGTACTATACAGTGGTACCTCGGGTTTACATACGCTTCAGGCTACATACGCTTCAGGTTACAGACTCTGCTAACCCAGAAATAGTACCTCGGGTTACGAACTTTGCTTCAGGATGAGAACAGAAATTGTGCTCTGGCGGCGTGGCGGCAGCAGGAGGCCCCATTAGCTAAAGTGGTGCTTCAGGTTAAGAACAGTTTCAGGTTAAGAACGGACCTCCGGAACGAATTAAGTACTTAACCCGAGGTACCACTGTACATTTTAAGCACTATTTAAAGTACTTGAAACAGCCGTGCTTTCTTCAAAGAATCCTGGGAGCTTCAGTTTGTTAAGGGTGCTGAGAGTGGTTAGGAGATCTTCTCAAGGAGGTACTATTCCCAGAGTGGTTTAACAACCAATCCACCTTCCCTGGGAACTCTGGAAATGGCCAGGGATTGAACCTGAGCCCTTCTGCATGCAAAGCAGATGCTCTATCACTACAGAGGAGGGCAGAACCCAAGAACATATAGGGTCCTTGGGCCTCCTAATTATGGTTAGGAAATGGCGTATGTAGGAAGCACCTGTACATGCTTTTTTAAAAAAGATTTTGCCTGAGGTGAATAAATGTCTGTGGCCACTGCTACAACCGCCATTGATGGTTCATTTCTTCTTCTGATGTTTACAATCAGTGGGTAATCTGTCAGCCATTTTGCATTGTTCAGTCTCTCCATTCTCTAGTATTCTGTACAGTGCCGGATTTACATATGAGCTAAAGAAGCTAAAGCTTAGGGCCCCACACTCTTGGGGCCCCCCCAAAAAAATTAAGGGAAAAAAACCCCCTGGAGATATATATATATATATATATATATATATATTTCAAAATATAAGATAAAAAACAAATAAAATAAAACCTACATGCAGCAACAGTGTTTTGTGTTGTGTATGGACCTATTAGGTCCATAAATTACCATATAGGATATATTCAACACAAAAAAATTGTTGTTGACAAAGGACAGCTGGACATATAAAGCGCCCCATTACCTTCAGTAGCTTAGGGCCTCATCAAACCTAAATCCGGCCCTGATTCTGTAGCATTCTACTTTCTATCTCTCACTGCCTCCTGTCCCTTAAAAAGAAAAGAAAAAGAAAAGAAAAGAAAAACCACCTTTGTCTTTTCATTCTAAGTGGAGAGACATAATAAAAAAGGGGAAAGAGGCACACTTTTAAGCAATTGTTTCTTTTTCCCTTTTTTTTTTTAAAAAAAAAACCACACCACAATGTTCTGAAAAGTTCCACATGACAATGCTATGATGTTGATGCATACAGTTGTTCAGCGGAGACATCTGATTGACAGGTACACCATTATTTCCACAATCTGGACTGATTGCTACACAGAGTAAATGCTAATCTTTACCTATTCCATTCTGGGTATGTGCTTTCCCCCACCAGCTCCACCACTACCACCCCATTATTCATTCTTTTTCCCACCAGTGTAGAAATGACCTGTTTGGAGCATCCCCCACTCCATGCTCCTTTGTCAGTGGAAACCGGGCTGGAATTAAAACACCTGGACAGCTACTCTCTGATGGGGCTCATGGCATGATAGCTGTATTTGTAAATACCCACTAGTACACACTACGGTACATGACTCATTAGATGCCAATAAATGAGTCATCTAATTTAGACTAATTGAGCTGTACCAAGAGATTCCGTATGCATATGCAGATAGCTCTGCCTTTTTTCCTACCAGAAGTGCTTTGCATGCACAAAAGCTACCCCACAGTATAAACCTACTCTATATTCAGTTTTAATTTAATCACAACTTGGTCTATATGCTCAAGAGACGGAAGATTCTCCCTCCCCACTCCACCCCATCAAATAATTGGATGCTAGGTCCTGAAAAATTCCAAGGAGTGAATAGTAAAAATAACACACACACACCCCTTTGATGCCATAACATATTGTATTGGATTAGCAATATAGCATATTGTATCTAAAAATATTAACATGGGACTGACAAAAAGGAAATCTGGCAAGAATCCCCCCCCCCCCCCGCGCACAACTTAGATTCTGGCCTGGACATGTTGGCATTTTGAGTTTTGCAGAGCAAACTTTAACAAGTTGCACTTACCAACTGCAGTAAAAAAAGAAGAAGAAGAAGAAGAAGAAGAAGAAGAAGAAGAAGAAGAAGAAGAAGAAGAAGAAGAAGAAGTAGTAGTAGTGGTGGTGAAGGTTGACCCACATATTTAATGTGGCAACACAAGGAAACTTGGGAGAAGGGCTCAGGCTTAGAACATCTGTTTTGCATGCAGTACACCCCCATGTTCAGTCCCTGGCATCTCCTAGTTGGGGAGACACCCCTGTTTGAAACCCTGGAAGACAGCTGCCAAAACAGAGCTAGAGTCAGTGCCGGGCAGTTTTCTGTGTCCCTGTGATAATAATTCCATCTCAGTCACCTAATACTGAAAGTAGGATTCTGGATTTCTTTCTACACTGGTGCACATAAATGACTAGTTTGGGGTACCCTTCTTAGACCTGCCCTCTTCTTTCTCCTCCTCTGTTTTCATGGAGAACAATGAATGGCCATTACAAGTACAGTGGTACCTCGAGTTACATATGCTTCAGGTTACATATGCTTCAGGTTACAGACTCCGCTAACCCAGAAATAGTGTTTCAGGTTAAGAACTTTGCTTCAGGATGAGAGCATAAATCGTGCTCCGGCAGCACGGCAGCAGCAGGAGGCCCCATTAGCTAAAGTGGTGCTTCAGGTTAAGAACAATTTCAGGTTAAGTGCGGACCTCCAGAACAAATTAAGTACTTAACCTAAGGTACCACTGTATAGTTCTATCTGGGTCCCAAGAGCATGCATGCAAGATAGGAAGCTTCAGGGAGCAAAGTATTCAGAGTCTGGCTAATAAGTTGCACACAGCATATCAAATGCAAGAAGACACATAGAATAGCAAGCGGGAGGAAGGAGAAGCTCACAGACGTAACTACTTTTCTTTGGCATCTCTGGGATTCTACCAGGGCCAGCACTACTGTTGGGCGAAGTGAGTCTGCTGTCTCAGGCAACAGATAATGAGAGGCACAGACTGATTGTGAGGTGTTGGAGAATAGAGCTAGCTGTATCATCCAGCCCACCCTACACCCTACAGCCATCTTGGTGCCTGCTGGAGTTAGAGGAGACATGGTACTTCCTCGCAAGATTCAGCAGTCAACCTGGTCAGCTTCTGCATGTGGAATGGAAGGGTGTCATCTTGTCCTTCACCTCAGCACCAAAATGTCTTGGGTTGGCCCTGACTCCTACAGCTCAGGAATCAGCAGCACTCCAGCATCTGTGCCTTTCCTAAGCTCACATCAATGGCCTGTGCTTTTCAGTCGCCTAACATAATGCTGCAGCTTCCCAGCTGAGGAAGGGATGTGTGTCATCTGAGAGCAGCCTGACTGACATGGTTGGGCCTAGAGAAAATAGTGTCCTGGGTGAGGAGCTCCTTCAGTGTCTCTTGTGGTCAGTTTTGTGACCAAGTGACGTGGCTTGTGCAGGACTGGAAAACCAATCAGTGTGATAGATGCTAGGCTTTCCTAGCTGTGTCCATGAATAGGGTTCAGGGAGACCGCCCAATAATTTGCTGTCCTGCTCCGGTCCTGGGAAAGAGGTTGCATTCAAAGTAGTACTGAATATCTCTTGCCTCCCTCCTCCCACCCCACATTGCCCCCCAAATAAACTCTGGTGTTTTCCCCAACCCTCCAGAGCAGAATTGGGGGTGGTGCAGGGCATGTGCACCAGAAGGAGAGAGAGAGAGAAAAGTCCCACTGAGCAAGGAAAAGCCATTCCACTTATGCAATTGTTTAGTTGAATACAGCTCAAGATGTTTGCATTTCTGCTTTTGAGAACCACAAGTAATAAAAATATAAAGTTACATATTTTTAAAATTGACCTCAATTTCAGTTGTACCTTTCTTTTTAAAATTCTTGATAGCGGCTAATAACCAACTAAGTCAGGGTTAGACCTATTGAAATCAATTACTTAAGACCATGTATTTTAATGTTGTTGTTTTTTAATTTTTGTTGGAAGCCGCCCAGAGTGGCTGGGGAAACCCAACCAGATGGGCGGGGTAAAAATAATAAATTATCATTAAATTATTATCCATGGGCTTCAGTGGGTGTGCTCCAAGTATAACTGGCATTGGATGTCATGCTACAAACACTGAGCAGCGTTGATAGCTGTCTTCGGCAACCCGGTGTCCTCCAGATGTTCTGGAATGGAACTCCCATCATCCTTGACCTTTGGCCGTGCTGGCAGGAGTTGGAGATGAAAACAGCTGGAAGGCACTAGATTGGCAATATCTGGTTAGTAGCATCTGAAGAGCTTGCTAATGTTCAAGTGGCGTCCCACTGAGTTTTATCTGGAACCAATGACATCAAGATAGAAAAGGAAAAAGTAACTACTTTAAAGCTAATTAGTGGACATTCATTCTCTGGTTAGTACAGTAGTGGAGGGGAGATGACTCCTTTTTCTCCCACTCTGGCTTATTGAAGAAAGACTCAAGAAACCTCAAATCATGAATTGCAGCTCGATGCTTCCTTCTACTCAGTGCCCATTGCCTGCAAACCTATTTCTAACATGTGAGTGAGCGTTTGTGAGGAACTAATATAAATAGTAGATAAGAACATGTGAACAAAAAAGCAAGCAAGTAATAATAATTTATAATAATAATTTATTATTTATATCCCAACCAATCTGGCTGGGTTTCCCCAGCCAGTCTGGGCAGCTTCCAACAAAATATTAAAATACAATTGTCTGTCAAACATTAAAAGCTTCCCTAAACAGGGCTGCCTTCAGATGTCTTTTAAAAGTCTGGTAGTTGTTGTTCCACAGAGCAGGTGCCACTACCGAGAAGGCCCTCTGCCTGGTTCCCTGTAACTTGGCTTCTCGAAGCGAGGGAACCGCCAGAAGGCCCTCGGCGCTGGATCTCAGTGTCCGGGTAGAAAGGTGGGGGTGAAGACGCTCCTTCAGGTATACTTTAAAGGTCAGTACCAACACTTTGAATTGTGCTTGGAAATGTACTGGAAACGTAGACAGGACAAAATGTAGAAAACTAAGACCATGCAATGCTATCTAGGTCTACTCAGTGAGAGGTAAGTCCCATTGAATTTACTTGCATGTAAGTCTGTACAAGATTGTAGCCTAAGAGTTAGGTCACATCCACACCATTTAAAAGCACTGTTATATCACTTTGACAGCCATGGAGACTCCTGGGAACTGTAGTTCGTTAAGAGTGCTGAGAATTGTAGTTCCTTGAAGTCATTACCCTTAGCAAACTACAGTTCCCAGTATTCCTTTGGGGATAGCTGTGGCTGTTAAAGTGGTATATTAAGGCTTTAAAGGTATGGTGCAGGTGTGACCTTTGCTAGCAAATAAATAGCAGCCAAATTTCAGTTAAGGTCATTTGGCATGCGTTACAGTTACACTGATGAGTGCCTACCTTAAAATGTATCTGTCCTCCCAGTTTAGATG